GCATAGTTTTGGGATCTATTGCAGTCAAGTAGCTGCATCAGGAGAACCTTCAGCTGGAAAAGCTCTTATACACGTTGTAGTTTGATCGTTACAAGGTGTGTGACGTCATAAAAAAGTAGAGCCTTATCACAGGTGATAAAGGCCTAAACTTTTTCGACTGTTTCTCGACATGCATTGCAAGAAAACAAATGTACGAGGCAGCATTTAGCTCGAGAAATACGCATGCTGGGTCCATCGCTTCGAGCTGTGACGTCAGAAAAAATTTGAGCCTTATCATGGGTGATAACGGCCTGAACTTTTTTGACTCCTTTAGACACATATTGCGGGAAAGCCATCTTACCAGGAAACATTTAGCACGGAAAATACTCTTGCTGGGTACAATGCTTTGAGCGGTGACGTAAAAAAAAACTTGAGCCTTATCATGGGTGATAACGGCCTCAACTTTTTCGACTACTTTTCGACACATACTGCGGGAAAACCAACTTACCAGGAAACATTTAGCTCGCAAAATACGCATCCTGGGTCCATCGTTTCGAGCTATGACGTCAGACAAAAGTTGAGCCTAATCATGGGTGATAAGGGCCTCAACTTTTTCGTCAGCTTTTCGACACATATTCAGGGAAAGCCAACTTGACGGGAAACATTTAGCTCAGAAAAAACGCATGCTGGGTCCAACCCTTCGAGCTGTGACGTCAGAAAAAAACTTGAGCCTTATCATGGGTGATAACGGCCTCAACTTTTTTGACTCCTTTAGACACATATTGAGGGAAAATCATCTTACCGGGAAACATTTAGCACGGAAAATACTCTTCCTGGGTACAATGCTTCGAGCGGTGACATCAAAAAAATGTAGAGCCTTATCATTGGTGATAAGGGCCTAAACTTTCTCGACTGCTTTTCGACACATATTCAGGGAAAGCCAACTTAACGCGAAACACTTAGCTCAGAAAATACGCATGCTGGGTCCATCGCTTCGAGCTGTGACGTCAGAAAAACTTGAGCCTTATCATGGGTGATAACGGCCTCAACTTTTTCGACTGCTTTTTGAGATATGTTGCGGCAAAACCAACTTACCAGGAAACGTTTAGCTCTTAAAATACGCATCCTGGGTCCATCCCTTCGAGCTGTGACGTCAGAAAAAACTTGAGCCTTATCATGGGTGATAACGGCCTCAACTTTTTCACTGTTTTTCGACACATACTGTGGGAAACCCAACTTACTAGGAAACATTTAGCTCGCAAAATACGCATCCTGGGTCCATTGTTTCGAGCTATGACATCAGACAAAAGTTGAGCATTATCATGGGTGATAAGGGCCTAAACTTTTTAGACTGCTTTTCGACACATATTCGTGGAAAGCCAACTTGGCGGGAAACATTTGCTCAGAAAAAATTGATTGATTGATTTGTGGGGTTTAACGTCCCAAAACCACTATTTGATTATGAGAGACGCCGTACCGGAGGGCTCCGGGAATTTTGACCACCTGGGGTTCTTTAACGTGCATAGCTCAGAAAAAAACGCATGCTGGGTCCAACCCTTCGAGCTGTGACGTCAGAAAAAAAAAACTTGAGCCTTATCTTGGGTGATAACGGCCTCAACTTTTTTGACTCCTTTCGACACAAATTGCGGGAAAGCCATCTTACCAGGAAAGATTTAGCACGGAACATACTTTTGCTGGGTACAATATTTCGAGTGTTGACGTCAAAAAAAAAATTGTAGAGCCTTATCATGGGTGATAAGGGCCTCAACTTTCTCTACTGCTTTTCGACACATATTCAGGGAAAGCCAACTTAACGGGAAACACTTAGCTCAGAAAATACGCATGCTGGGTCCATCCCTTCGAGCTGTGATGTCAGAAAAAACTTGAGCCTTATCATGGGTGATAACGGCCGCAACTTTTTCGACTGCTTTTCGACACATACTGCGGAAAATCCAACTTGACAGGAAACATTTAGCTCGCAAAATACGCATGCTGCGTCCATAGTTTCCAGCTATGACGTCAGACAAATATTGAGCCTTATCACAGGTGATAAGGACCTCAACTTTTTCTACTGCTTTTCGACACCTATTCAGGGAAAGCCAACTTAACGGGAAACATTTAGCTTAGAAAATACGCATGCTGAGTCCGTCCCTTCGAGCCGTGACGTCAGAAAAAACTTGAGCCTTATCATGGGTGATAAGGGCCTCAACTTTTTTGACTGCTTTTCGACACATATTTCGGGAAAGCCAACTTACCAGGAAATATTTAGCTCGGAAAATACGCATGTTGGGGACATCGTTTCAAGCTGTGACGTCAGAAAAAAAAACTAGACCCTTATGATTGGCGATAATTGTCTCAACTTTTTTGACTGCGTTGCGACATATATTGCGGGGATGCCAACTTACCAGCAAACATTCAGCTCGGAAAGTACGTGCACTGGGTACATCGTTCCGAGCTGTAACGTCAGAAAAAGTAGAGCTTTTCGGGTGTGATAAGGACCTAAACTTTTTTGACTGCTTTTTGACATATATTGCGAAAAAGCCAACCTACCAGGAAACATTTAGCTCGGAAAATACGCATGCTCAGCGCATCGTTTCATGTTGTGACGTCAGACAAAAGTCGAGCCTTATCATGGGTGATAAGGGCCTCAATGTTTTAGGCTGGTTTTCGGCACCTTTTGTAGTGAAACAAACGCACCAGGGAAAGCATAAGCTCGAAAAGCTCTTATACATGTTGTGGTTTGGTCATTACTAGATGTATGACGTCAGACAAAAGTATACCCTCATGATAGGTGATAGGACCTAAACTATTTTACATAGTTTTTTTGCATTTGTTGCAGTGAAGCAGACACATCAGTAGAGCCTTTAGCTCGAGAAGCTCTTGTACTCGTTGTAGTTTGATTGTTACAAGATGTGACTTCTGTGGGTATCGGGCTTGCTGCGTCCCGTGCGTAGCTAAACCGAGGACGATGGAGGCTTCACGTCAAAACAAAGAACAACATTTATTTAACTACACGTGGTATACGGTAGTGTTTGACCTGGGACGATACAGCTACGCAGCGACGATGATTCCGGACAGCAACATTCGGCCAGCACGGGTGACAGCCTCCATCCTTCGTGGCAGCCAAGGCGCCTATCTCCGGGCAGCATGGAGGCGAGCCCTTTTGAAGAGCACAAGTGGGCCACACGCACCGCTGCTGCGCAACACGTGGCGTCATCTCTTGATGGCCGGTCCGCGTGGTTCGCAACATGCCCCACCCAGGAAGGTCGGCTGGGGACCGGAGGTTCGCAGGTAATGTCCGGCTTCAGGGGACCTGTGGCAAGGAACAAAAAACATTTAAATGCTTCGTTCTGGTCAGCGTTTGCGTCCAAGAAAAAAAAACACAAGCACCAAGGAAGGAAATGCGCCATCTTCCCACTCCCCTCTTTGCCAGGTTACCGCGTACGCAAATTTTTCCACTTGCTCGGTGGTGTTGGTGACTGGATGGCCAAGCGAGGGGGCGGAAACTCCCTATACCTCCCATGTATTCGCTCTCGCATGCTAATACGCAGCGGCAGCGCCGCTTTTACCACTGGCGGCTGCCGGTCATCCTAGTAGAAATAAATCATGAACAGAAAACTTTTTCATGACGTCGCTGGTGACGTCTCGAAATAGATGAAAAGACAAAAAATCGAGAGGTGCATGGTTATCGCGGAAACCCTCCTGTCCCGCTTTACACAGAAGCGGAAGATGCTTGTGCTAGGGTGCCTTGATGCCCGTGCGCTCCGCTGAGGGTGAGGACAGCCGCGTCGTCTGCTACGACGGCCGCCATTACGGCTCCCGCCGTAGTAGGGCAGCATGCGAAGCGCACTACCGTTTGCGGTGCTCGCGTATGGTAGGAAAGAAGTACTCGTTGGCGAGCTTTTTTTTTTTTGGTGCAACTTGGACACCTCTTAGTGCTGTTGTTGCCTAATTGTTAAATGGAACAACGCACGTCATACAAACTGACGGCATGTGCTTGTACAATGTGCCAGGGGCTGACATAGACTTCATTATTTTAAAAACGAGCTCTATTTGCTGGGGCGGAAAAGAGATTTTCGATACGCTTAAAAGCGTACCTATTTTCTTGGGGAAGTCTGAATTTCAAATGCACCAAGGATCGTTTAAAGCATTTATAGGCATGTCGGCAGCAGCCTATGTATCGCAACGAAGATTTCACTGTTGCGAAGTTACCTAACTGTGGCTCTGGGGGCATATTTTCCTGTTTACAAGCAATTTACTAATTTATTATGAATGGCTTTATACGTATTGTACTCTGAAATAGGTCCCCATGCCCAGAGGTGAGGTGCCGAGGCGTAGTACGGTGCAAATATCCTGTTGAGAAGAAATAAGAGCTACATAATTAAAGCGAAGGTTTTTACGTCTTCCGGATGACGTATTAGCGCTCTGCAGGAAAGCCAACTTTCTCTGACGACGTCAACGATCGTTTGTGAGGTGTAAGAAAAAAACTATTACAGAAATCATAATCGAACTTGGGTCCCTCGCATTCTTAACCCGACGCTTATCAGAGAGCACTATTTAGACACTCTCGAAGATTGGATTTGGAGAGGGGTGCATGAACATGCGAAATGAAAAAATTCGCGTACTCCTCCGCCTAACGACGACGATTGTTGAACATGAATCTTTGTGTGCGAAATGAAATGAGCCACGAACTCCCACACCAGAAAGCTTCGCGTTAAACCATTGTCGTCGTTAAGACGGAGGGGCGCATGAATTTTTATTACTACGCTTGCTGAAAGGAATGCAATATTTGGGTCTGTTGCGAACTGAACTCTCCTACTTCTACGTCCCCCCCTTTCCCCCCTTCGTGTTTCTGTCGATGGCTGAAGCGATAGCCATTCCCGCCCCCCTTTTCCCCCTCTCCCTGCTTCGTAGATGAAGCTACAAAAGAAGCTTGCGCGAAACAATAAACGTTCACTCGTTGCCCTAGTCTGCGGTTGTCTGCGTATGCTTGCCGTGGCTGCCCGGCTAGCAATGTAACAGTGGCGACGAAGTCGGTTTTCGCTACCCACGGTACCTGACGGACTACGAGTCCTGGCGTCAGACGAACGAGGACCGACCACGATGGCCTCCCTGCAGTTGCCGGATTACGACGAAACGAAAGATAAGTGGAAGCCTTACCTCGTCAGAGCAGAAGCGTATTTCGAGGCGAACAGTGTAACGGACCCGGCTAAGAAGCGAGCACTACTAGTTTCGGCGTTGTCTAGTAAGACGGTCGAGGTGCTAGCCGGCAGAGTAGCCCCGCGTGCACCAAATGAACTGACATACAAGGAAGTCGTTCAGAGCTTGAATGAGTATTATGACCCTAAGAAGCACGAGATAACGGAAAGCTACAAGTTCTTCAATCGCTCACAACTTCCAGGCGAAAGCGTTAGCGCATTTCTCGTTGCTATTCGCCGAATAGCAGACAACTGCAATTTCGGCACGTCTCTTGACCGCATGCTTCGGGATCGCATTGTCTGCGGCGTACGCTCCGTGGCACTGAGGAAACAGATGTTGGCAAAAAAGGATTTAACGCTAGAAGAAGCCGAAGCATTGGCACTGTCTGTCGAAGCAGCTGAAAATGGTGCCGAAAGCATGACCTCAGAAGCTACGCCCTTGCTTAAGCTACGCGCGTCCGAGGCCAACACTGTTAAAACATCTCCGACTCGGCACGCGGCACAGCATTGTGATAGATGCGGAAGCAGCAAACACGACGGCAACAGCTGTCGTTGGATTAGAGCAAGGTGTTATCGCTGCGGACGTCATGGGCATCTCGCAAAGATGTGCCGCACAACCGCCAGTAAGAGCCGCGTCGCAACGCATGCAGTGGAGGGAAGAGCTTTGACTCTCGAAGAAGCCGTAACTGAAGACGACGATAAGGACGAGACACATATATGGACCTTACTTTCTGCACGAAAAAGCCGCCTCGAGCCGCCGATAAGGCGCAGTTTTCATGGAATGGCGTACAACTTACAATGGAAGTAGATACTGGCTCGCCTGTCTGCGTAATTTCCAAAAACGTGTTTGACAAGCATCGCGAACAGTGGCCAGCGCTTAAACCTTCTCAGGTGAAGTTGTCATGCTACGTTGGACCACTCCCAGTGATGGGGGAATTGCAACTTTGTGTGCAATACAGGGCCGTCTCAGTTTACTGCCGTCTTATTGTACTGAACTGCTCGGGACCTAACCTGTGTGGCCGGGATCTGATTTCCTTGCTCCACAGAGCGGGGGTTCCAGTTTTGCAGCCGTCGGCACAAGACTTGCTACACTCAACGCCAGAACCCGCTGGGGCAGTTCACAACATTGTCGACGACTACCACGACGTCTTCTCCAAGGATCTTGGCCTGATCAAGGGGCCTCCAGCCACATTGCAGCTGAAAGAGGGAGCGGTGCCGAAATTCTGTAAGGCAAGATCCATACCTTACGCTCTAAGGGACAGGGTGACGCAAGAACTGGACAGGCTGGTAGCCATCGGTGTACTTTCACCAGTCCAACATTCCGATTGGGCCACTCCCATCGTGCCGGTACTTAAGAAAGACGGAACTGTTAGAATTTGTGGTGACTTCAAAGCCACCCTAAATCCAGCCTGTACAGTTGAGCAGTACCCTCTCCCAGTGATTGAAGACATGTTTGCATCTCTAAACGGCGGGGAGTATTTTAGCATTCTTGATTTGCGAGATGCCTATAATCAAGTTCCTTTGGATGAAGCCGCAAGGAAGCTCTGCGTCATTAACACGCACAGAGGCTTGTTTTCGTATAATAGGCTTCCCTTCGGAATATCCTCTGCTCCGGCTATTTTTCAAAGAAAAATGGATGCAATACTGTCAGGTTTGCCAGGGGTTCAGGCTTACCTTGATGATGTACTGGTTTCGGAGGCTCGTGGCGATGGGAGTGAACGCCTGAAGAGTGTGTTGCAACGGTTCCGTGAACACGGAGTTAAGCTAAGGTCTGATAAGTGCAGCTTTAGACAGCCTTCTGTCACATATCTCGGCCATCGGATAGACAGAGAGGGTCTTCATCCCACAGAGAAAAATTTGGAAGCGATCGCTCAGGCACCTCGCCCACAGAACGTGGCGGAGCTGCGTTCCTTTTTAGGAATGCTGACGTTTTATGCCAAATTTCTTCCAAATATGTCCACTCTACTTTCTCCGCTCAACAAACTTTTGGAGAAGGGCACAGTATGGCAGTGGGGGCGGCAACAAGAAGCTGCCTTTGAGAAAGCAAAAGACAGCCTAATGCAAGCTCAGGTTCTTGTTCAATTTGACCCGTTGAAAGAGTTGAAGCTCGAATGTGATGCTTCCCCTTACGGTGTGGGCGCGGCGCTTTTTTCACACGAGTAACGGCATGCCAAAACCCATTGGGTTCCGGTCCCGTACACTGACGGCCGCCGAGAAAAATTACTCTCAGCTGGAAAGAGAGGCCCTGGCTTTAGTGTTTGGCGTCACTAAGTTTCGTGATTACCTTTTAGGTCGCCAATTCACTCTCGTGACGGACCACCAGCCCCTCTTGAGCTTGTTGCAATCCGACCGCCCGACGCCACCCCTGGCTGCAGCACGTATCCAGCGCTGGGCACTGTACTTGGGTGGCTACCGCTACAAGCTGCAATACACGCCGGGAAAACAGTTGCTCAACGCGGACGCCCTGAGCAGGCTGCCACTGCGGTCTACGGAGGCTGATGACGTGGGTGAGCCACCGGAATATGTCCTCGCTCTGGATAATTTTGACGATGGCGTTATCACAACACGGGAGCTACAGCAGCTATCGGCCACAGACCCCGCAGTAACGGCGGTAAAGAATTGTATATTACATGGCTGGCCCAAAAGTGCAAAACAGCTGGAGGAAACGATGCGGCCGTTTTTCGACCGCAAACTAGAACTGTCCGTAGCCCATGGTCTAGTGTATTGGGGGCATCGCGTAGTGATACCGGAAAAAGCGCGGGACCGTCTTTTGAAACTGTTGCACGAGACCCACCAAGGCTCGTCAGGAATGAAAGCAGTGGCAAGGTCAAAATTTTGGTGGCCCCGACTAGACCGCGATATTGAAGCGCTTTCAGCCGGCTGCACGAACTGTGCCCAAAACATGCCAATGCCGGCAGCGGCACCACCAGTAAACTGGCCGAAAACCAATGAAAAATGGTCGCGGCTACATGTCGATTTTGCCGGACCCATAGCAGGCAAGATGATTCTAGTTGCAGTAGATGCCCATACCAAGTGGATAGAAGCCGTGCCAGTAAAGCATGCCACCACAACAAGCACAATCACCTGTCTGCGCGCCATGTTCAGTCGATTCGGCGTCCCGCGAACCATTGTTTCGGATAATGGGACACAGTTTTCTAGCCAGGATTTTGCTACGTTCGTGGCAAAGAACAACATAATGCATCTGAAAACGGCGCCCTTTCATCCACAGTCTAATGGAGCGGCAGAACGAGCAGTGCGTACAATAAAGGATGGACTTCGGAAGATGAGGGAGGGTAATTTGGAGGACAACCTTGTGCGGCTCCTGTTCAACTACAGGAGAACACCACAGAAGACGGGAAAATCTCCGTCAGAATTGCTGCTAGGGTTCCAGTTACGTTCACGATTGGATGCGTGTTTTCCCTCAACTGTTGCAGACTCGCCGCCGGCATCAGATGACTGGGTGGTCCCCATAGAAAGCAACGTGTACGTGCGGAACTACGGTGTCGGAGAAAAGTGGACACCAGGGCGTGTGCAGTCCACTGCAGGATCCCGAATGGTGACCGTCCAAACTCCTCATTCTGTAGTCAGACGCCACGTTGACCAAGTGCGCCCTCGACAAGCATCGCAGCCCCCATCGCCGGGCTCTGCATCCTTATCAGAGTCTAATATGTCCATGCTGCCGAAACGATCGCCGGGGCCCTCAACTACAAGCTCCACCGTGCTGCCTCCAGAAGCGCTCACTACCGCAAGCCCCCACGACCATCCAGTGCCAACCATGCCACAGGCCGGTCCTACACAAGCGGCGACCCCAAGCGCGGAACCAGTGCTTCGGCGTTCTACCAGACAACGCAAGCCAGTACAACGGTTCCATTTTTAAGAAGAGAGAAGTGTTGCGAACTGAACTCTCCTACTTCTACGTCCCCCCCTTTCCCCCCTTCGTGTTTCTGTCGATGGCTGAAGCGATAGCCATTCCCGCCCCCCTTTTCCCCCTCTCCCTGCTTCGTAGATGAAGCTACAAAAGAAGCTTGCGCGAAACAATAAACGTTCACTCGTTGCCCTAGTCTGCGGTTGTCTGCGTATGCTTGCCGTGGCTGCCCGGCTAGCAATGTAACAGGGTCTTTGTGAATCAGCCGAATAGCAAAGGCAGGAATCGCTGTACTTTATATACTTGCGTGTGTGTGTATATATAACACACACACACACACGCACACGCACACACACACACATTATCTGACATTCGGTACCACCTTCCCCTGCCTCACCATTTCATGCACTGTGCAGGCAGCATACCCGAGAGTAACATGCTTTACCAGTCTACCTTTATGAAACGACACCCACGATTTCAGTGAACAGGCCATTTATTTGTGCGCTGTTGCGAAGCCACCTCCGAAATCCCGCCGCTGACCTCCACTGTTGCGAAGCGCCGGACCGATCCCGCCGAAGCCACCACTGTTGCGAAAGACGGCGACGCCGACGCGGTCCCGGAGGCGCCACTGCTTTCAACTCCGCCGGGAAGGTCACCAGCCGTTTGGTAGCGTATGTTTCTCAGCTCGCGACTGCTTCTGCGCAGAGCTGAGGAGACGAGCGGACGAGACGACGGTGAGTTAAACAAGGTTTATGTACAGCATATATACAGAGGCGTTACAATTTCGGCACTGGGGCCGGCAGAGACTCGAAGAGCCGAGCTCCTCTCTCTAACACATAGGTCAGCCTTTCGCCTAAAACCGCTGATCGCGACACGCCGCAGGGCTTCTTTTATTTCCACCGGGCCCAACTAAAATGTCCAATCAGAAGCGCCGCTGGTCTTCAGAGCAGGCTCCTCCAATGGGGTTCGCCGCGCGATGCGTCAGGCCACCAGACATGAGGACGCCGGCTCGCTGTCACGTGCGCCGCTGACTCAATTCACGTGGGCCACAGATGCGCCGCGCGTGTTCACGCCGTGGAGTTGTTCGCGCCCGGCGGGCTGCGGGCTGGCCTTGACCCAGATTGCCTGTTTCAGAGGCACGGACGTTTGACGAGGACTCGCTGGCATAACAGCACCCCCGCCGCCAGACAATGCACCGGAAAGACGAGCTGCTTCCACGGGGCTCGGATGTCAGGTGCGCTCGTTCGCCAGGTCCCTCCAGGTTCGCCTCCAGGGCCATGGGGAGAATACAGCTCCAGACTGTTCCGGGAACACATCCCATCATTGACGACGGATCCCCGCTCCACTGGCTTGTCGCCACAACTTGCTGGCCAACTTCGCTCGTCTCTTCTGACCATTTTCGGTTTCAGCACTTGTCGATGGTTCTGCAACTTGCTAAGAACGGTTCGACAACAGACAACACACGACACAAGCAAGTGCCCTCGGTCACCCGACAGAACACCAGACAATGTATAGTACAACATATACCTATCTACGTGTTTATCGGAATTTTGTTCCCTCTACATCAAGAGGCACATGTGGGACAAAAGACCCTTAAAATGACAACTCAATTTTTTTTTGTTTCCACGTACAACAACGTAACGAATTAGAATACCACAAAGTTGGCCCCTTGAGATCACTCTGAACGAGAGCGCTCAGCCCAGGTCGTGATGAGGTCAAAATTTTGCCCCGAATCGCCAGCGAGAAACCGAAAGGTTGAGAAGTTACTAGCTGGAACGCACTGCTCAATGCACCTGCATTAGCGTTTACCTTTTTTTTTTCTTTAGCGAACGTCAAAGTTGCGCTGTGGAGCAACATGCTCCACTTCAGTAACCGGCCACTTTTAGGCGACGATACCTATGCGGCACCAAGAGCGGCTCACACTTTCGACGTTGCACAGGGGAACAACGATACGGCTTGCTACGGATTGACTCCTCACCGCTTAGCTCGATATCGTGTTCGATCACCCTCATGTTTCCGGGGCAGTCCGAAAACACGTCTTCAAACTCGGAACCAATCTTTCTCAGGTCCTCTTTCTCAGGTCCTCCTTCACTTAAGCTAGGCTCTAGGTTTATCTGCTCCCGGATTACTTTCGATCCCCCTTCGATTACCTCACTAGAACTCAAACTTTCTGCTTCATCTTCCTCTGAAGCATTCAACAACAGATTTACGATCGCTTGATGTTGAACGTATGGTTTCATCAAGTTGTAAATTTTGTCCGGCCGCCTTCCTAATTTCACTTCATAATTTGTATCGCAAGGCTTCGATAATACTTTGGCGGGCCCTTCCCAATCAACCTCAAGCTTGTTCCTTTTTGGTGGCTGCAGCCGCATTACCTGATTATCAACTTCAAAAGCGCGCTTCTTCCCCGATTTCTCGTAGTGCTCCTTCGACAGCACATTTGCCGCGTTTTTCTGGCTTTCCACGAGCGCTTCAATTTGGCTTTCCACTAGCGCTTCAATCGAGAGACCCTCACTCTGCCCTCGAATGAGCGTCTCTCGACCAACTCTCGGCAGCTCGCTCCAACTTTCCGCTACAGGCGAGAGCGTTGCATCCCTCTCGCTCTGACTCAAAGGCGCCACGTCGTCTCCCCCAGCGCATACCGCGCCGGCCGCTCCCGCGACGGGCCGCTCGCGTGACTGCTCACATGACTCATGCGGAAAATTTCCTTTCTGGGGTTCCGTCGACCCGCCGACAAGGTCACTTGAGAGTTCACCGCATGGAACCAAGTCAAGCTTCCGCGAAAGCTTTCGCGCTTGCGATCGCGTGGGAGCCATGCACGCTAAGTTGGGGAAGAACGATTTGCCCTGCTCCTTGAGAAGCTGCTCCGAGTTGTTGGAGAAAAGATAAGAAAAACGACCATTCAGCGCGGCAGACACAGCCGCTTCGGTGCAAAGCTTACCGAACGGGCCTTCAATGACAACGGTGGCGATTGGTAAGCGAACACTCTGCTCCTCGGCGACTTGCCTGATCCACGCGCATTCTCCTGTGAAGTCATCCGGAGACACCAATGAAGGATGGACAACGTCCATGGTTGCCGCTGAGTCTCTAAGTGCTCGGCACGTTTTCTCATTGACCCTAATTTCTTGGAGATACGGCTCCAACAACCGCATGTTTTTTTCTGATTCTCGGATCGTTGCGAAGGCAAACTTTTCCTGACAGTTTCTCGCGATGTGCCCTTCCTTTTTACAGTTGTAGCAGATTAGCGGCTTCCGTTTGTTTTCCGATTCAAATGCCTGTGTGGTAGAAACCTCACTCGATTTCTCCGCTTCTGCTTGCCCTTCCCCTACACTGTCCTTAGTAAGAGATGGGTCCGTTTTGAAATTACGGTGCGGAACGGGTTTCCGTTGATCAGGTTTCCTTGAAAAGCTCTCTTTTCTCTCATCCTTTTCAACGCGCACTGCCCTGCTATGCAACTTTCGGCGAGTATAATACTCCTCAGCTAACTCTGCTGCCTTGTTTAACTGTACTTCACCAAGTTTGTCCTGCAGCCAAAGTTTAACATCCTCCTCGATGCAGCGGTAGAATTGCTCCAATGCAACGCATTCCACCACTTTATCGCGGTCGTCATAAACACCTTCGCCCTTGAGCCATTCGATCAAATCGGCTTTAAGACGAAACGCGAAGTCAACGTGTGACTCATTCCCCTTTTTAGCATACCGGAACCTTTGCCTGAAAGCCTCGGGCGACAACTTATAACGTCTCAAGAGCACTTCCTTAACCTCGTCATAGCTCTCAAACGCTTCCCTCGACAAGCAAGTTATCGCGTCGGACACTTCGCCGGGAAGAAGAGCTAGCAGGTTCCGCGCCCAAAGAGACTGCTCCAAAGCATTTCGCTCACAGACGTGTTCAAACTTGACGAGATACTTCGCCATGTCCTCGCCCACTACGAACGGTGGCAGTTGATCCCGAATTCTAATACCGCTGACCTGACTCGTCGGAGAAGCTACGCTAGGCGCCTGCGAACACTGTAGGATTGCCAATTCTAGTCGTTTCAACTCTAGGCGCTCTTGTCTCTCGGCCTCCTCGCGACGTTCGCGCCTTTCAGCTTCTTCGCGTTCGCGAGCTTCTCGCCTTTCTTCACGTTCGCGAGCTTCGCGCCTTTCTTCACGTTCGCGAGCTTCGCGCCTTTCTTCACGTTCGCGAGCTTCGCGCCTTTCAGCCTCCTCACGTTCGCGAGCTTCTACTTCTCGCCTTTCAGCCTCCTCACGGCGTGCTTTAATATCCACCCAGGCCTCATCGACTTCCTCAGCCGACACTCCCTCATCCTTCATGATCTCAAGGATCGCTTGCTTTCGTTTCGCACGGCCCAAAGTAATGCCGAGTTCCTCACAAATTTCGATGAGTTCCTTCACTTTAAGGTTCTCCATCGTTCACACTAGCCTCTTGCTGTTTGCCCCTGTTAACAATTTACTTGCCGTACCCACTATAAGTCAACTAGCAAGACGCGCAAGCAACTTTTCACTCTCCCGTGTTTACTCCCTCCGCATTAACTTTGGTTTCAAAGCACTTCGACTTTGCTTGAAACGATCAAAGCTCACTCTAATGCTTCACACAGCCCTTCTCTAAACTACTACAACCTGAGCTAGAGTAGTTTGGTGAACTGAGGGGAAAACATCAGGCACTCACCGCATCGATGTCGCTGACGCCGGCCGATCCCGCAGCTGCCAACCACTGTTCTGAAGCCACCTCCGAAATCCCGCCGCTGACCTCCACTGTTGCGAAGCGCCGGACCGATCCCGCCGAAGCCACCACTGTTGCGAAAGACGGCGACGCCGACGCGGTCCCGGAGGCGCCACTGCTTTCAACTCCGCCGGGAAGGTCACCAGCCGTTTGGTAGCGTATGTTTCTCAGCTCGCGACTGCTTCTGCGCAGAGCTGAGGAGACGAGCGGACGAGACGACGGTGAGTTAAACAAGGTTTATGTACAGCATATATACAGAGGCGTTACAATTTCGGCACTGGGGCCGGCAGAGACTCGAAGAGCCGAGCTCCTCTCTCTAACACATAGGTCAGCCTTTCGCCTAAAACCGCTGATCGCGACACGCCGCAGGGCTTCTTTTATTTCCACCGGGCCCAACTAAAATGTCCAATCAGAAGCGCCGCTGGTCTTCAGAGCAGGCTCCTCCAATGGGGTTCGCCGCGCGATGCGTCAGG